GCACAGAGTAATATGGAAACATGTTTTGAACTTGTTATAAGTTGTATATACTATAACCCAAATAAAAAACATGTATAACACAATACTTTCAATGAGTTTGTATGGGAAATGAATTATGTTGGTGGCTAGCGATTTATTAAGCCAATTAATTTGTATGTATTAAACTGTTTTCAGACTCGATTTATAAAATTATAAACATCACACGCCGTAACACGTTGATAAGTTTCTTAAACATTTTGCTTGTTTTATTTGAACAAACTCTCAATTTGTTCAAAAATATAGCAACATCAATAAATTTTTAGAGTGTTTTTCTTCAATTATAATTGCTGTAAGTTTTTATTGTTATTTTTTTTTCAATGTATTTATTTACTGTTTTAAATTCATATTGAATAAAAACTCAACTGAAAAATATGTGATATTGTCCTGGTATTGTTTGCTTAATATAAATTGTTGTAAAATATATTTAATGACAACTTTTCCATTATATAATTTCACCTACGTATGTATTATAAACATCACAGTATTATAATGATTTTTTAATCCTAAATGGACTATCAAAATAAGGCAAGGACTATGGAATTTATTAGAATGGAGGTCATGCTGAAATAAGAATGTCGGTCGGGATGCCCCCTGCTCCGATGGAGCAATGACCTGGTGAAAGTGGGTTGGATTGGACGGCAACAGCAGGCGGTGGTTGAGATATAACCGGAAGGCCTGGCACGGCGTCACATTCTGACAGAGTCGTATCTTGGTCTTATACCATTAACTCTATCGATTTATTAATGCTGTGCCTTAAAAATAATTAAACTTAGTTGGAAGGGCTTTTTCAAAAAGATAAACATTCTGTATAGTAATCGAACGACACGTTCTTGTTTTTCTTTAGAACTAGTAGTTAGCATGAAAAGTGTAATTACGTAGTTAGGTACTAGGTATTGGAAACAAATTGACGTTGTAGTACAGTCAATCTGTAGGTTGAGTGGTGAAAAAAAAACCTAAAGGGTAAGTCTTGTTTTTTCAGTACAGTCAATCTGTCGAAAAAAATATCGTTTCAATGAAAAAAAAAACTTAAAGGGTAAGTCTTGTTTTTTCTGTTGCCAAATGACGTCAGTAAGCCACCTTGGCGATGGGCATGTTCAACTCGTAGGCGTTTTTTGAAAAACTCAAAAAAACCGTCAAAAATTTTTTGAAACGCATTTCTCTTGTTTTGTATGCATTTTAGAAACTTTTTTTTCGACCATAATTGTAGAGGGCGTTGAGCACTACAATTTATGTCATTGTTGCAATCTCGTACAACAAAAAATGCGCATCGTAGGTGGCGCTAAAGTCTCAAAAAAAGTGTTTTTTCACTTTTTTTACGAGATTGCAACAATGACATAAATTGTAGTACTCAACGCCCTCTACAATGAAAAAAAAGTTTCTAAAATGCATACAAAACAAGTAAAATGCATTTCCAAAAATTTTTTTTTTCAAAAAACGCCTACGAGTTGAACATGCCCATCGCCAATGTGGCTTACTGACGTCATTTGGCAACAGAAAAAACAAGACTTATCCTTTAGGTTTTTTTTTTCATTGAAACGATATTTTTTTCGACAGATTGACTGTACTATTGATGTTCATAGAAATTAGCTGTGAAGGAAAAAGTTATGAAAATTCTATATTTGGAAAGGCCACTAATTTTAAGTATAGGTAGGTACCATTATATACAAAAAAACATTTAGCAGTCTAGTGAATGTACAACAATATTGTTATCCAATTATTGTGAATATTTTTCAGTTAAGTATTGTAAGATGTTCTTTTTACGCCAAATACTTTTTTGGAGCTGACTTGCCACTAATGTGCTTCCCTTATATGCAGTTATACCTAGCCCCATAAGTAAAAATACTTAATATGCTTTCGAGCAATGCGTTAAATATCAGAATACATAAACAAATTGTTTTTTCTTATAGTTAAAGATATTTTTATAACTAAACTGGCCACGCTTAGATTAAAACAAAAAGTGGAGGATACGGTACGCTCATACTAGCATCAAATAAAATATGATCTGACTCAACTATATAAGCAACTTTCACACACGCACAAGTCTGTATATAAACATTCAATCGAGCGAGCGAGACAGAACTGTACGCTTCAACGCAGCACGAGCGAAACGGCGAGACCGCTTCCGAGTCCCTACGTTCTTGATAACAAAATGGCGATTATGTAAATAACATTCACGACAAACCGTGATTGTTTAGAAAAAAAGTTTTTACAGTTTTACGATTGAAAAGTGTTGCCAAGTCATTTGTTATTTGATTTTAACTATTGGTCTTCTTTATAAAAGCATCGAAGGCATTGTTTTATCTTTATAACACAGAATAAACGCAATATTGTTATTTGAGTGCACATGCAGCGTGTTTTAATATCCAATTGTGACTAAAGCGAATTGTGGTCATGCACCACAATTTAAGCGGATCCCTTCTAAGCCGCGAGTGCCGTATCTTCCCTTTTTATTTTAATCTAAGTTCCGGCTTCGCACTGATAAAATCATTTAGGTAATAAATAACTCCGAAAATGAGCATTCTATACTTTGCAATTTGATAATGGTTCGTGCTATGGGTACTGGTCGTAAAGTTAATTTGTCTTTATTACGTAAAAGAAATGCGCCATACGTTGCGAATATTTACAATAATACCTAATCATTTCTTTAGGTATCTGTATTGTAATTTATTTATTTTATTATACGTACGCTAACACTTATCACATGGCAACATGTTGAAATACCTTTGAAATTAAGCGTAGCGAAATTCTCTCTCCAACACAACCAGTAAATTTTTGACGACTGCCAACTTAGGCGAGATTGCATGCTAAGAAGACAGAATCGACATGTTGATATTTCTATTTGTCATTTTGTTTTGTGGTGAAAACTACATTTGTATGATGTTAAATTTTCGGATGATTCACTATTTTCCTATAATTTTGTAGTGAGGTTTATTAGGAAACTATTCGAATACGCTAATTTCACTACGCTTTACAAAGCGTAATTTCGGATTCGCAAACGATACGAATTCGATTTTGGTTCGTGCTAGGGGTACTGATTCCATTGTTACAAGTCGCAAATATATAAGCTGGCAGTTTTGTACCACATTTGTAACCTATTTTATTTTATTGCCGTCGAAGGCACACGAGCGGACGGGCCACCTGATGTAAGTGGTCACCGTCGCCCATGGCTTCTCTTTAACCGACTTAAAAAAGGAGGAAAATTTCAATTCGTTAGTATATTTTTATTATTGCTGTTCGCGCATACTTCTGAAATGCGTAGACCAATTTTAATGATTATTTTATTGATAGTTTTTTTTTAGTTCCATATTAATTTGGTGAAGATCGGATGAGTACCCGTAAGAACGACCTACAATGGAACACCTCAATTACGAACAGTGCTCAATTCGTGTTTGGTTATTTTAATAAATTGGTATGAATCAGATAATGTAGGTCAGGTATCTACGTATTGCTTGTTGACTTTGGCTTAAAAAAAGTGGAAAATAAAAACGTTTTTATCAGAAATTAAAACCGACTTCATTAAAACAAAACCACTAAAAAGAAAGAAATAATACGTATCCTTTATTTAAATCTAAAGTACATTAAAGTCTTATTAACACTTGTTGTACGAGTAATAAATAAATAACTAAGTAGATAAAATGTTAATTTGCTATGAAATTGTTTTTCTTAGTTTCTTGAGTGTCTAAGAAAACATACTTATTGCATGAAAGTAATTATTACTGGCTGCAGATATTTGTTTATTACCAACTGATTCGAACCCAGGATCTCTGAGGTAACACCTTGAAAATCTAAATGAAAAAATACTATTTAAATGTATAAATTAATTTCTTTAGTTAAAAAAAATGTCTTAATGGTTTATTCAATTATTAAGTTTAGCATTCACAGATAAAGTGAATCTGTCTGAGATGTTTTCACGCCTTAGCTACTGAATAAAATGTTGATGAATGCAGATATGTAGTTATGATCTTATATATTTAAGGGTTCCTTGTTCGCTGTTGAATCCTAAACAAGACATGGATTATCTTTTGTTAAATAAAGTTGAAGAGGTTTAAATAAGGGGTCTTAGTTTGTATGGAGACTCAAATATTGTTTGCGCAGGATGTTAGGAGCTGGTAGTAACTATTATATAATTTATCCACCTATAGATAACACCCAATATTAAATGTGACCTTCTACTAAATCATCATTAAAACACAAGCTTTAATTTAAAAAAGATAGTAAAGTACAAAAGTTTGATGATTTTCTACAAAACCTCTGTTTTTAGAAAACCTGCAATAATACTTTATAAGAAGGACTCGTAATATTTAATGTAAAAATAATAATAAAAAGTGTTTTCATTCAGAGTTCTCTTGTATGATGTCCTCTTTTCATAATTAACGATGAGTAACCCTTTATGTTAGCATTAACAATACATACAATTGAAGTTCTTCGAAACCATAAACATCTAATTCTAGATATCAGGCTTGACTATCTCGGTGAATATGACAAAAATGAATTAATCATACATAGTTAAGTAATTTCATATAAAAAGTAATCATAATTTGATTTATGTGTAAAGTAATATTTATATTGATCTTAAGCAATAGCAATCTTTAATAGATAGACATTGACTTCAAACAATGGCAAGGACATTTCAACCAGACGGAATTAAATTCAATTTGGAATTTTAACATTAACAGTAGTCTGGACGTCATATTATTGAATCTTAATAGATTTGTTTGCTGCAATAACACAAGTACCAGCATGCGATACCTGTGATATTGTTATCACGTGGTTATCAGTATCACAGATCGATAGTGAATATTTTGCCTGAGATTATGCCATGAGGCACTTTCACCGCTGTTACACACGTTTTCTAGCGAAACACCGAACTCAATTATTAATAGCAGCCTATTTTTGGAGCGGCTTCGGACGCGGATTTGCGCTCGGGCATGTGCGAGGCCCGGGCGAAGTCACTATCTCACCTGGGCCAGGTGTAGACACCGGAAACTTCGAAGCCAAAGTGCCAGGATCCGGCATAAGCACCTTGTCCTTTGGGTCCGGTACACACACCGTGCCCATGGGCCTTGCCGTCCTCCCACCCACCACAGTATGTACCACCATCGTCAAAGTCGAAACGGCCACCGTTGAGGCCACGTTGCGGGGGGACTCCGCTAGTGGCGTGCGCGGTGTCGGCAAGTTCGCTCGGCTGCATCACGCGAAACCGTGGTGCCGTGGAGGGGAGGGCCTCCCGCGCGCACCCTCCACCGAGCTCGCGGTATAAATAAACATCAGCTGGGCATGTCGCGCCGTGGCGCGCCGCCGAGTGAACACCACTCCGGTCCTGCGCGAGGAGCACTGCGCGCCCGACCGCCGGCAGCCGCCCGCCCGCCGCGCCCCGCCCGCCCTGCGCATTGCGTGCTCTGCCCGACCGCACTCGCCACACCACGCCGCCACCAGCCTCCATCCACCATCGCAGATGCTATTGACATTGAACGCACGCACCACTAATCAAATAATGTATTGAAAATTTTGCTACTATATAAGTAGCAAAATTTCCTCCTAAGCTGGAAACAATAAAGCAATTTTCTCGTGATGAAAGTGAAAAATGATCTATCGAAGTTATAGGTGTTTTAGCATGTTTGCGGTTAAACTTTTTAATAATAATGTTTTTTTTTTCCGAAATACATTAAACATTTTGATATTTTCATCCCATTGACTTTTCAGTATGACACGAAAACAAGAAATAACAATGTAAATAACATGTTTAAAGGGTTCAACACGTTTTCACTGGGTTACACAAGGGGCGAGGCGACCCAGACCTTCAATAAATATTGAACCTCTTAAACATTTAATGTATTTTAAATGTTTCAGGAAAAATTAGAAATGTAGGTATCTAGCAATGTATTTAATTTGTATAATATCTCCCCGTTTTTATTATGAGGCATTAAAATGCTTGATCTTAATGTCTAAAGAAAATTTTACTCGTACCTACTCATTTAACTATTACTCTGGGCTGGCTGAACTCGAACAAATGTTTGCGCTCATAATCGACCGTCAGAAAAATATTAGCAAACCTATCAGATTTTTATGTAACCAGCAGAACCACCAGATAAAAGGTAGTCCTAAAAAATAAAACCGACTACAGCCTATCAGTTAGAGTTGAAAGGAAAGACTTCTTACTATTAACTCCCACTTCCACGCAAAACTACAGATCGCCGCGAATGCTGCGATGCGATTTCGTGCAGCAAAACCTTCAACGGTAGTCAGCCGTATTGGACGTGAATAAGTAATAGTGACATGGATCGCAAAAAGATTGGTGCACTGCTGTTACTGTTAAATAGATATAGAAGAAAATTAAGATTTTGGGTAAATCCATTTAATTAGACTATGAACGCTGATAGGAACTATTTTACTCAAAAATTGTTGGATAACAATTACGAATTCGAATAGTTTATGAGTGCGTTATGTCATTGCCAAATGTGTACTGTTGCGCTGCTGTTTCAAGTTTCCATACGAAATTTGACATTGACATTTCGGACTCGCAAACTATTCGAATTCGATATTGGATCGTGCAAAGGGTACAAAAGAAGATATTTTTTTATTATTTTAGAATGAAAGCATATCTTAATTTCAAGAGCTTTATTATCACCATGTCTACAAAAACGATCGTACAAGGGAAGTCTCAGAGCGGACTAAAATGGTGTCACATCTCTGAAATGTGCGATGCGAATCAGACCGGAAGAATTCGTGCGAACTCGCAGATATTTGCGATGCGATTCGTTCGCAGTTATGTGTGCGAGCACTTAAGTATAATGGATAGCGACCAAGGGAAATAGGGATTTGTTTTTATAATATAATTTCATAAAGGGCATGGGTGGAAACGTTCCCACCCTCGAACAGATTTGGAAATCAAGTGAAATTCGAAACGTCTAGTAGGATAGATATTTTTTTACTATGGCGACATGCTTCAAATATATGGGGTTTTATAAATACTAGAAGTGCTCTGCAATTTCACCCGCATTAATTTGATGAAATAGGTTATAGCGGATCAACCTTAAAAGCGTGATGATGTTATATTGCTTATAACCTTCCTCTATAAATGCATTAGCCAACACAAAAAGAATTATTTAAATCGGACTAGTAGTTCACGACTTTATGTAAAATGAATTAAATAGAAACTGAAAATTTTAAAGGCAAATTCAAGCCAACCTACGAATAAGCAATAAATGGTAACTCAGGTGTACAGTGGTGATCCTATAATTAGAAACACTTCTTATGAATAAAGAAAGTATAACTTCAACGTACGGTCGCAGTCAGAAAATGTTTACCACCTTAAGGATCATAATTGCATGTACACATTTAGGTCACAATCTAGGTCTATTTCAGATTGACCATAGATTATCTTTTTTGTAATGATATTGCTCTAGGCGATGGACGACTACTATCAAGGTTTGATATATATATATATCTTTATATATATAATTCTTCTGTGAGTGTGTATGTCACTGAACTTCTCTTAAACGACTGGACCGATTTTGATGAATTTTTTTGTGTGTGTTCAAGGGGATCTGAGAATGGTTTAAATTCACAATTTTGTCCGCTGGTTGATGTTTTTTTAATTAAATTTTTTTTATGGCGGTACGAAGTTCGCTGGGTCAGCTAGTATAGGTATATATTTTTTAAATACTTCGCCTCACACTAGGATTTCCTGCTGTATGGTAGGTGTAATTCAAACATATAATCTCACATGTGCATTGCACATACGTCCAAACCAGGACAAATTTCTGTAGGCCATACAAAATATCTGTGCCATACGGGAATGGAACCCGCTACCCGTTGCGCAGTAGGCGACGACCTCTGCACTCTGCACTAGCCGTGACATCAAACAAATATAGAAAACCATTAAAAAAACTAATATTTTAGTTTTTTGACTAAGAATATGAAGAAATAATAAAATAGAAACTTAAAAAATCTTTATTCAATATCGAGAATAACCTCCCTCTGCAGCTATGACGGCACGTAGTCTATCTCGCATTGATGCAACAAGATGCGTGCATAGATCGGTCCCTCTAATATCATCCCATACTCGAGCACAGTGTGATCTAAGATCATGAGGGTTCCTTCCATTTTGACATTCCCAGCCGTAAGCCTCCATAAATTTTCAATAGGGTTTAAATCAGCAGACCGAGCGGGCCATTGAATGGGATGAATGTCACGATGCAGGTTGAACCACGCCATAATAGCACGGGCTGTGTGTATCCGTGCATTATCTTGAACATAAGCAATGGGCGGGAATTCTGTTGCAGGATACACTACGCGCACAGTAAGCAGCATCACTTCTGCCAAAAGCGACACATAATTAATGGCAGTAACCCTATTCTCTAACGATGTCTCATCCTCATCCACCCCTATAAGTTTACTGTTATGCGACCTGACTCGTTTTGAGGCACGATATGAGCTTCATCATACCGAGTTCGATTATAGCGCCATAACGTTAACCTTCCGATTTGGCTTGATTTAAAGGTTTTCTCCTCGGTAAATATATACTACACAGTCAGGTCATAAGTATTGTCACACAGTAAAAACTTTTCTTTTAGAATGCTGGCCACAAAAAAGTTTATTGAATTCGAATTTCGAATTGTTCATGAAAATAAAAATGTATACTTTTTAGAATTTTACTCATTTTTAAATATGGAGTGGACGCTTAAAGAAGACCGTGTTGCAGTTATTGCGTTGCATCGTTGCGGTTACGCGCCAAATAAATTTTTTGACATACTGAAAATTTTGAATATAACCAAAAGATTCGTTTATCGTACCACCAAACGATCAAAACATGTGACAGAATTTATGACCTGACTAGGTATATTTTTCGACCAAGCAAAATCATGATGTCACGCAAAGTTAAGCCGGGCTGTTTTGTGGTGAGGTTTCAGCTCCACTTTAATAGCATGGTGTCTGCAATGTAGTCCAGCTCTGTGCAAAGCTCGTCGGATCGTGAAACCGTTCCTTCATAACTAGAATTGGTCGTCGTCCTGAATTATTTCTATGATCTGTTAAGTGCCCCTCTTCGCCGTGATGCCGTATCCAAAAAAAAACCTCACTGTGAATCGCGATATATTGAGTTCTCGTGATATATCACTATTAATTGTCCATCTTCGAAGAGAAATATTATTTCAGCCCTTTGCTCCAGGGTCAAACTTTTTATTTTATTTCGTTATGAAAATATTATTCGTAAAATTTTGCTCTTGTCCAAACAATGTTCAAACAATCATTTTTTTTATAAATGTCATTTCAACAAATAAAGAATTGAGTTTCAATATCAAAAAGTAATAAGTATATAATTCTTTTTGTTATTCTCGATGCGTCATATTGCATAATAACTTTTGAAAGGTAATAAGTTACTTGATATGGCATTTTAGACTTTAGTGAAAAAAATGTGACATAGAATCTAATTTCAAAACTGGTAAACATTTTATGACCGCCACCGTACATAAATATACACATTCAATAATTAATAATCATGCAAGAATATAACCACTCAAATAAAAAACTCATTAAATGCATAAAATATTAAATGCAACATATCTTACTTTTAATTACAAAATGAGTCTTACACATGTAGAAGTTTATTTTCTATTACTGGCCGCTTGGACGCTTATAAAACACATGGACCTGTTGAAAATGTTCTTAAAAAGGCTCCGCCAAGAAAAACCTCTCCGAGAGAAGATACGCTAATCGTTCGTGTTGCTAAAAAAGACCCAAGTAAAGGCTCCAACCAGATTAAAAATGAAGTTTTTTCGCCTGATGACTCGAGAAACATCTCGTCAAGACTGATACGCCGAAGATTAGTGGAAGCTAAATTGTTTGGAAGAATCGGTCGAAAGGCTTCTTACCAAGCAACACCGAGAGTTGCGATTTATTATTCGCTAAAAAAAATTTAATTGGATGCTACGACAATGGAAAAAAGTGTAATTTTTATGATCAAACAAAAATAAATATTGTAAATTCCGATGGAAAGCGCTTTGTTAGACGTCCTGTAAATAATGATTTTAATTATAAATACACAAGCACGTTGGCGGTAACATTAAAGTTTGGGGGTATTTTTCCCGATGTGGAGTTGGACCGGTTCGGAAGATTGAAGGTAGGTATAATGGATCAATGGCAATACAAAAATATCTTAGAGCACACAATGATTCCCTCCCTACTCGGACGATCATTTGCCTGTAACCTGGATCTTTCAGCATGACAATGGCCCTAAACACACGGCCAATAGCGTCAATTGGATTCTTTAGCGAACAGCATATATCCGTTGTAGACTGGCCAAAATATCTGGTATATTGCTAAAAAGAAAGTAAAAAGAAAGTCTCAAACAAACGTAACACCAGTCAAAACGAACTCTATGAAACATTTGTGAAGCATGGAATTCAATCAATCAATGCCACGTCGTTGCAGTGCTTTTATTGGAAATGAGGGTTACGCCACTAACTATTAATTATAACTATTGGTAGAATGTGAATAGCAGCTATTTCGTAAATAACAATACTTATTACTAATACTTAAAAAAATAATGTTTTTTATTTTTTTTTGTTTTGGTTTCTAATTCGTTGACTATTATTGTTCATACCATAAAACTGATGTAAATGTTAGTCCGTAATGTAATATTGAAACTGCACTTGTGTAATGGGATTTATATTGTTTTTTATCCTATTTTATTTACATATCCTATTTATTGTTTAATTTCAAAATAAAAACGATTGCGGTGAAGTATCTTACATAATTTCAAGGACCGTTGGTAGTGTTTCTAATTATACGACCACCACTGTATGTAAAGAATATGCATTATTTCTTCTTTTTAGTGGTTCAGTTTTTATGAAGTTGGTTTATATTTTTGTTAAAAAAGTTTTTATACAGGAATTGAGTACTGTTTATAATTGAGGAACCTAACATTTT